GGGGGGTGCAGACACATTTTAACATTATCAAAGTCTGTAAGAAGACCTGACTCAACAAAAACACAGACCTGTGGTTCTTTCAAAGACAATCAGTGAAGAAGTTAGTTTTCCGGTAATTTGTTCATATTTTATTCGCACAATCAAACAATAATCTGTTTTTGATGCAGACCAGCATCAACTCGCTGAACTCTGCAGAGCGAGGGCTGTATTCACAAAGCTGCTAATCAGAATAAGAGCATTGGTTTAGGATTACTAATCTCACCTTCATGCCTTTGTGCAAATTTCAACTCCGTCTCAGCTGGAGGATAAAAAGAGGTTGTGAACACAGGCCTCGTCCTGTAGAGTTAAAATCATCGGGTCTAAAAAGACAAATTTCACACACTTAAATTGAAACACACATGTCCACACACACACACACACGTCCTCCCTAAGTTCTGAACTCTGATCCCATCAAATCTTCTGGTCCGGGGTCATTATATTGACACGAGACTGTCTATAAGAACCCATACTGAGGTCACTGATAACATCTGCAACCCATTCACTCAGACTTTGGCTTCACATTCAGCTTGTCTACATTGTGATATAGCTTCTGATCCAGTTAGAAAAAAAAAAACTCCACGAGTCTGATCACATTTTTGACTCACAGAAATACGTAGAGCAGCACATGAGATAATGTTCGGCTCACAAACAGGAAACTGTGGGGGCTACAATGTGGAAAGTTTGCAAACTACATCCTGCGCCGCTTGTCTCACTTTTAAATCACAGATGCTGCGTTTGTCCTCCGTGTTCGTCCTCGTTTTAACTCTTTATGTTCCGCCGTTTGTCGGTTTCCTCCAGCTTCCTGATGTGTTTCACGCCTGTGGGGCTAACCTGAATGGGACTGTGTTCACCTAGGATGGCTACAATCAGCGCTTCAGGTGCGGTCACCCCACCACCCGGAGACACGGGGCTGCGAGGACTGAGGGGGCTGACGGGGGACAGAACGGCGTCGGGCGAGACCAGGCGCTCCTTCTTGGCAGCGGAGCACGGCGGGCGGCTCGGGGCGTGGCCCTCTTTGGGGCGGGGACAGAGGCTGAGGCTCTGCAGGGCGGGGAGCGGGTTGGAGGGGAGAGCGGGGACAGCCGGGCTGCGGCTCCGACGGTGGCGGGGATGGCGTTTGCCCGTTTTAGGGCTCGGGCTGCGGGAGTTTGGAGCCAGAAGGACTAAAGTGCTGTCGTCTTCTGAGCTGACGTCGGAGCTTTCAGAGCGGCACACGGTGGGGCTGTGAACGGGCATCTTGATCTGTTGACGGATAGAAGGAAAAATTACTGATAAACGTAAAAACATCACATTAAAAAATACAAGTTAAAAAGATCATTAGTAAGTAACAGAATGAGTTATGTTGGTTATATTTAGTTTAGGGATATGAAAATTTCAGCCAATATCAATATCCAATATAATTATTGCTGTTATAGCCGATAACTGATATTTACCAGTATTACACAAACACACAAATTATATTATACATATATGCACAAACGCACTTGGGTCTTTTTTTGATACCATAAATAAACAAACAGACCTCTGACATGGCTTTTTCAGTTATTCCTGGCTACACAGCATCAATATCACTATCATGATCAAACAGATGCTGAAAGTGGGAAATCAATATCGAACGTTAATATCGGCCCAGTTTCAAATATTGAACCGATACCAACATTCTTAAAAATGACCAATATCGGTATACCGATATTAATGCCGATATATCGTTCATCCCTAATTTTAGTTGTTCACTAGACACAAATTTTCCTGTTTTTTTAATAATGAATCAAAATATTTTAAAGACATGAAAAATCTGATCTGCAGAGCTCCAAAACTTGTGAGCAGTATTCATTGTTAATTATTATTTTTACAGATATGCAAACCATTCATGCTCTCTGCACACATGCAATAACATCCTAAATTACCCTGCTTCACCTTGGCCTCCATGGTTTGAAAAAATTCAAAAGTCAAATTGCAGTTTGTTCTTCCTACCTAAATAAGCTGTTTGACAGCGAAGATTTGGCAAATGTGTCATGTGCACAACCCACATACTCAGCTCTACTGCTCATCCCATGAATGCATGTTCCTTACAAATGTGGCACCATTTGAAAGAGGTATTAACAGACTTTCCAACAATATGAGAGTTATTGCCAAGAAGCATTGTTACAACAAAGAAACGATCTACCAAACATTAATTTCCTTCATTTTTTTTTGCAAAGTTTATACCATAAAAATGACACATAGTTATTTTTCTGATTGTGTTACCTGTAAAGGGGAAGACAATCCAACAATACTGTTCATGGTATTACTGTAGTAACCCAGGATGTATTCACAATCATCTCTTGGTAAATCATCCTCTGGGAACGTCACCTGATCAAAGGTAACAAATCATGAAGTCTAAATTCAGCTCAGGTTTGAAGTTTATGCGTGAATCAGAGTTTAGGACACACCTGAGTAGCTTGTTCTCCTTTGGCCCACATGAACACCTGATAATCTTTGTAATGTCTGAATCCAACCTGCTCAGAAAAAAAACTGTCAAATGTGTTGAGAACCATTAACCAAAGCTGTCAGACTTTAACAAACTGAATACCTTGTAAATTGCAACCCAGTCCCATGAGCTGCGCTGATATGTTGGCGCCACTGTGAATCTGACCGTGGCGTCTGCTGCTTTGCACCACTCCCTGCTGGCCTGAAGCTCCACCAGAGGCATGTCCACCCTGAACGGGAACTGGCAGACAGAGACGTCGTTCAATAAAACCCAACGGGGGGGAAATTGAATTTTGAAGCAATAAAGCGATTTTTATCTCACTTGCAGTGAAAACAGAGCAGAAACAGGCTTGTGGTCACTGACGGTAAGGTCCACGTGACTCTGGTACTTGTGTTGTATTACTTTAGTCGCCCCACCCAACCACGAGGTGAGACCCCTCTGCAGCGATGCATTGTGGGTGGGAACCGGGGAACCGGTGCGGCGCAGGCGCCAGAGGATGCGGTCCGTCCACGCAGGTTTCCTCTTCTTCGCGCTGACGGATGCGAAGCAGAGAAAACGTGAGTTTTATTTTTATTTTTTAAAAAAGGAACTCATCAGAGGAGAGACGAAGGAGGCGGACCTGGTGTCGTACGTGTGAGTGCCCACGTCAAACTTATAGGTAGGTGGAAAGTTGAGTGAGCCCTCCATGAAGCCCTCCAAGATGGACTCTGTGTTTTTAGCCATGTTGAGCTGTAGATCAGACAAACAGTGAGTCTGGATTCATTTTGTCTTCTGTTGGAGCCACAACTCCCTCTGTTGGTTGTGTCTTTTATTTCACAGACAAAAAGCCTTCCAGAACAATCTGTTTCTCATTTCATTAGAAACTTTTGATAAAAAAGAGATGTTACCTTTAAACTGTTACTCAGTAATTATCCTACTAATCAATACATGATGAAATATATTTAAACAATAGACACCAAACGTGAAGTTTGCAAAGAGCATCCCAAAACAATTACTCTTTTTTTTAGCTAGTCAAATCACAAGGAAATTAGAGAATGAATGCAACAACTTTACCATTGGTAATATTGATACAAAGTTTTCACTAATGTATGCGCATATTATTTGGGTTTAATATAAATATAAATAAAAGACTAGCAAAAAATTTAGTGTAATAATTGGCAAATTTCCTATTCTCAAATAGCTTTATCATCTTTACCTTTTTTTCCAGCCCCAATAAACAAATTGAGCTGTATTTATCCACTGTTTTAAGAGTACAAACAAAAAAGCTGCAAACACATGAATGCTGAAGATCAATAAATATATTTAATTTCTCATAATGTTTTAAATGTGTGTAGAAGCCTATCGACATACTTTATTTATTCTGTTCTGTTCCTTGTTCTACTGTCTTGTATTTGCATTTATAAAGATATAAATTTTTTTGTCTGCTTTAAAGACCCAAAGGTGCCTCACCTGATCCCGCTCCCACAGAAGAGGCAGCTTGTTACTGTCGATGGCACATTTTACCACATGGATGTCATAATCTTCGATACGGAAATTCAAATCCCCGAACCAAAACACGACACTGCACAGACAACAGAAAGGCCCGTTGTTGACAGAACAGAGTAACAGATGAATGTTGAAAATATCATTTATCACTTGAAACGTCACCACAAAACTGAAACGTAGCAAACACAGCGTTAGGAACATATGTGGGGTTTGAAAAGTTTTAAAATGTTTAATAAAGTGACAAACATGACTTCAATCTCTGATTAGAAGAAACTGAGTTGCAATATTTTTTGTCTTCACTCAACGTCAGCTTCAGGTGCAGGCAGTGCAGCCTTCACTGACAGAAATGAGAAATCCTTTTTGTTTTTGATATTCAGTTATTCTCAGTTAAGGAAAAAGCCAAGTAAAAGTTAATAATGTTTAATACTTTATCTAAAGTGTTATTTTTGTACCCTGAATTTGTTATTAAAGATAAATCTGCCAAATATCCAAAACCAAATTGTGCAGAAGGTAAATTATTTGTCCTCTTTTTTTTACGCCTTTTTATTTGTCCTCTAAAGTACTGGTTCCAAACCTTTCAGCTTTTGACCCCCCCAAAAATCACAGTAGCACAGAGCTGTGCCCCCAACCATTTTTATGCAATAAACATAGGTATAAGATCAAATAAAAAAGGCACCGTAACAATATTCTTTATGCTAATTTCATCCATTTTAAGTTCCATAACTGCACTCATTTGTAACAAGTACAGAAAATTTTATTGTTTAAAGGAGATATATGGTGCTTCGAAATCCTTCTTTTTCACATTTAAATCATTCATTTGGGGTCTATATAAAGTAAAACGGCAATGCTTTGGTCTGAATTCCTCCTTATTGTAACTATAATTCCCCTCTTTCACCTCTTTTCTCAGGTGTGTCTCAGATCAACTCATTTTGAGGCTGTCTCTTTAAATCCAAACAAAGCCCTTCACGCCCTCCCTCCAGCTTCCAGACCAGTCCATTCTAGTTTGATAGAGGGGTTGAACATATAGCGGCGCAGAAACTTTTTACTTACAAATTAATTAAAATATGTCAACAAGAGAAGACTTGTCCATCCAGCCTCACATGTTGGAGCCAGAGTCTGACCCAGAGCCAGAGGAAAATGAAGACAAATAGTGATTGGTAAGTCTAGACCAGAGGAGCCCAAAGTGGGGCCCGCGGGCCAAATTTGGCCCACCAAGCCATTTGATTTAGCCTACCAACAGTTGCCAAAGTTACAAGGTTGTAACCTGTTATGTAAAAACACATTATTTCCATTGGTCAAATGACTATATAAAACGGCTGTAGTGAAAGTAGTTTTCAGTCATGGTGTTGACTTTATCTTTGATTTATTAGGATTAAACATGAAACATGAAACAACAAGAAGAAATATTTACATCAGATTTAACCCCATGTAGATTTGCACACTTTATAAGGCCACAAAAACTCATATTTTATCAATTTATAAAATGTCCCATGAGCCTTTGCTACTTGAGCGTATGGCAGACTTTCTCCAAGTGCACAGACTAAAACAAAAAAGGGCCATTGCATAGCTTAATCATTAAAAAGAAAGGACTTTACTTAAAAAGTATTTGTATTTCATGTATTATATAAATGCATTTGGCCCGCAGCCCCGGATAGATTTTCATTTTGGCCCCCTCGGGGAAAATGTTTGGGCACCCCTGGTCTTGACCTTATTTAGCAGTTGCGCTGCAAATACTGTGACCTAATAGTAAAAAGAAAAAAAAAACAATGTATAAAATAAAGAAAACTGAATGGGTTGGAAAAATATGACCCTAACAGAATATTTTTTCATGATCATTTTTAATTCAGACAATTCTTTTAAGACCACTCTCTGATGCTTCAAGGCCCACAGTGGGGTCCTGACCCCAACTTTTGGAAACACTAAAACTTTAGAAATATAACTATTATGAATTAATTAATTTTGGTGTTGTGTCTGTGTCACGTTGTCTTTGAGCATTTCTTAATCGGTGCTTCTCTGGAATAGTAAAAGCACCCACTCGTGATCGAGTACGCCGGTGGCTGTTCCTCCCTCAAACTGCTGCTGCTGAAGGATGCTTTCAAAGTCCTCCATCCGCTGCTCCAGGTGCCTCATGTGAGCCGGCAGGTGACAGTTGAGGAAGCACACCGGGTGACCGAACGCCGTCATTCTGGCGCTGACGCCGCCTTTATTCCCCTTAAAAAGACAGCATGAGGGCAAACAGTGACGTGACAAAATAATTTCCTGTGTAGAGAAAAAAAAGATCAAGGACAAGCGGAGTGCAGATCTACCAGATCTGTGTGTTCAGTGACGGGGTGATTATTTTAGCAGAACCAGAGAGCCAGACAGCCTGCAGCTGCACTGACCTCAAAGAGAAGGAGACTGCACCAACAGCAGCCAGGAGGTGATGCTGACATCAACACACGGGAAGGTCACACACTGACATGTGCATCCACGCCTGTGTGCACCTGCCAGCGGGGGGGGCAGCTCATACTATACCCCTGCAAACCCCACTGATACTAAAGGGTCTGCAACCTTCATGATCAAAAGAGCCATTTCTGCTACTTGGCTCACTAATAAAATGTGTTCAGATCCGCAAAACAAGCTACAACTGTGATTATCAACTGGTGGTTCGTGGGCCTTTTCAAGGTCTTTTCAGAAACCTTTATGGCCAGTGACGTTATAAAAAGAAAAATATATTGTGATTTTTATTATTTATTATTTTTGCACCTCAGAACAAATGAAAAGACCATCTTCATGTAAACAAGAAAAATACAGTATATAGTTTTTACCAAATTTTATTAAAACTAGGTCAACTGAACTATTCAGGTATTTTTTCTAATACTTATTATTATTATGCAGTTTTCAAATTCTTTAAAGGTAATTCTGATGGATTTGAGAGAAAGATCATAGAAAGAAGTTGGATTGTTTAAGTAAACACCAGGCTAGCATGAGCTAACATGTTTTATCTTTTGTAGTAGTAGTATTGATCACATATTTGCATACAAATTGATTTCTGTTGTGGGTATAAAAAAACAAAAATTATATATTTATTCTGTTATGTTTGGTCACATTTTCAAAGAGCCACTGCAGGGGGACCAAAGAGTCACATGTGGCCCCAGAGCCACAGATTGCAGACCCCTGGTCTAATCGTTTTGTAGCATCATAACTCTGGGCTGGTTGCTTCGACGCGTGGCACATACCCAATATCCTCCGAGTCCAGTGCGTGTACTCTGTGTCTGCACACCTCGGAGGAACGGAAGGTGGCAGAATTTAGAGAAAACCATCAGCAGCACTCCCTGCATGCGCTGGGATGCCACCTGAGCAAAGAAAAACAGGGAAAATAAATCACTGGGTAATCAGGATTATATCGTGATATAAAATGGTATTAAAACAGAGACGTGCTCACTAAAACATATCCAAAAGGACTGAGGGTGTCCATGCAGAGCTCGCTCCACTGGTCTGAAAAAAGAGCATCCTTCAGCCTCTTGTTTATCATGGAGTTGACCTCCTGGAGTCTGGATGGTGACAGAAAGCAGAGAGTTGTTACCAACCACTGAAAAGTGAACTTTGATAAAAAGAACAGTGTCAGCGGGTGGTTGGTGTGATCACAGATGACTGAGTGGGCACGCCCGGCTGTCTCTTTGGCACTGCTGAGACGAGCACAAATACTTGCTTACCCGATGACGAACATGTCAACGCTACCATCTGAAACGTTTGGTCCAAACAGAGTCGTAATGTCATCTGGAGGGACGGCTGATCCCACGTTCCAGGTGACGATGTAAACCCTAAGAACAAAATAAACGAGAGGATTTAAGATCTGCAGTAAAAAGATAAAAACAATGACCTAATCCTGCGATCCTCAGAGAAATAAAAGCTTCCTTCAGGGATTTTTGTGGAAAAAAAAAAAAGCACAATTAAGGACCTGAATGTACCTCACTGATGACTAAGTGTTATGCAAGTGTGTGTGTGTGTGTGTGTGTGTGTGTGTGTGTGTGTGTGTGTGTGTGTGTGTGTG